AAGCCGGGTGTTGGTGTCACACGCCTTTAATCCCAGCACTCGGGAGGCAGAGGCAGGTGGATCTCTGTGAGTTCGAGACCAGCCTGGTTTATAAGAGCTAGTTCCAGGACAGCCTCCAAAGTCACAGAGAAACCCTGACTCAAAGAAAAAAAAAAAATAAAAAAAAAGAATAAGTCTCGAAACCCAAGAACATAGAGTGACTTTCTACTTATTTAGATTTTCTTTGAGCAATGGTTTATAATTTCCATTGTTTAAATCTTTCTATCCTAAGTTAAGTTATTCCTGGGCATTTCTTTGTGGTTGAAAATGGAATTGTCTTCTTACTTTCTTTTTTCAGATTGTTCATTGCTGGTGTCATTATGGTTTTGATTTGCATTTTCTGATGACTAATAGTAGAGAGCATCTTTTCATATGCTTATCAGCCATTCAAATCCCTTTGCTGGTGAAGTCTGATCTTTCTTAGTGATTACAGAGAATAGCTCTCTGGCTTTCCTGACACCTTTTCCCCTTCCCCTCTTCTCTGTTTTTTCTTTTCTTTCATTCTTTTAAAATTTCTAAGTTTTTTTTTGTTTTTTTGTTTTTTGATGAATGGGTATTTGCCCTATGTCTGTGCACACTTCTGTGTGTGGTGTTGTAGGAGTCAAAAAGGACACTGGGTCCCCTGAACTGGAGTGGCAGACAGTTGTAAATGGTCATGTGTGTGGGTGCTGGGGATGGAACCTGAGTCCCAGCCTCTTCTCTTTTTTACTTTCAAGAAGTACTTAACAGACATGGGGTGGACACTGGAGTCAGCTGCCCAGGGTGACAGTGGCATTCCACTTAAAGGCTCTGTGGCCTTGAGCATGTTATTTAGCCTTTCTTTCAGGTTCAAGTTTGAAATAAGGTTTCATTAATACACTAAATTGTTTATCACATACTATAGACAAGCAAAGGGCCAGTCCCAGTAGTGTTTCATGAACAAGAGACAACCCCTAGATGCAGACAATCATTCTAAATGACGTGAAATCCTAATTGTGACAAATGCCTGAGGAAGGGCTGTGTGTGAAATCGTGGGGCAACCTGACCTGACAGAGATAAGGGGATCCCTAATCCAGAACAACTCATTGAGAAGGCTGATGTGAGTGGACTCTTTTGAACTAAGGGTGAGTGTAGCAAAAGTTAAGCCTGGAGAAAGCAGGCAGACAGAGCCTGGTATGGTGATGCCCTTCCATCATCCCAGCACATGGAGGTAGGAGGAGGACCAGGTCAGTGATACAGAGCAAATCTGAGACTAGCCTGGGCTCTGTGAGACCCTACTGCAAAAGACAGGGGTTGGGGGAGGAAGGTAGAGGGAGAAAGAGAGGGAGAGGGAGAGGGGCAATCCAGGGAGCAGATCCCACTGAGTGTGAAAGGTCAGTTCACAGTTCATTATAAGAATAGAGAAACTGGGCTGGAGAGATGGCTCAGAGGTTAAGAGCACCGACTGCTCTTCCAGTGGTCCTGAGTTCAATTCCCGGCAACCACATGGTGGCTCACAACCACCTTGAACGAGATCTGGTGCCCTCTGCTGGCAGACAGAAGACTGTATACATACTAAATGAGTAAAATCATTAAAAAAAAAGAGTATAAAAAAAATCAAGAAAAAAATATACGCATGTGAAAAATTTCTTACTAAGGGTTGTGGACATGGCTAACTGGGTTAAAGGCATTAGCCACCAACTCCCGAAGAAGGATCCAAATGTGTACACTGTCAGATCACACACACAATAAACGTAATTTTAAAACTCGAAAAAATCCTAATAAACTCCAACATTGCTTCAAAAGAAAGAGGAAGGAGTTGGGTGGTGGCGCACGCCTTTAATCCCAGCACCGGGGAGACAGAGGCAGGTGGATCCTGCGAGTTTGAGACCAGCCTGGTCTACAGAGCAAGTTCCAGGACAGTCTCCAAAGCCACAGAGAAATCCTGTCTCGAAAAAAAAAAAAAAAAGAAAGAAAGAAAAAAAAAGAGAGAGAAAGAAAAAGGCTCCCAGTCCAGCTGACACTGACATAGGGAAAACTTGGTACTATTAGCAATGAGAGGCTTTTTTTCTTTATTCTTTCTCCTATAGAGATTTGGTTGAGGCAAGAAAAATCCATGAGCTGGGTGTGGTCCACATATTTTTAATCTCAGCACTTTTGAGGTTGAGGCAGCTGGATCCTTGGGGGTTCTCGAGGCCAGATTGGTCTACATAATGAGTTCCAGCCAGTGCTATGGACAGAAAGAAGAGAGAGATAGACACACACACACACACACACACACACACACACGCACACAGAGAGAGAGAGAGAGAGAGAGAGAGAGAGAGAGAGAGATCCTGTCTCACAACAACAAAATCGTGGAAATCCCCAGATGACTGTTACACTTCATGTCGTCACGTGCCTTTGTTTCTTCAAAAAGGTTCACCTTCTCAACCCAGATCCAATATCCAGCCCTCGAAAAGAACAGAAAAGCTGGCATCAGAGCTTCCATCGGGAACTCAGGACCCCGGCCATCTCATAGGGTTTTCTGAGACTCACAGCTCCCTCACCGAGAAAGAGAAGGCCTGCCAGGCAGGAGCATGGGGCTCCCGCGAATCCTGTAGCATCCTCGTGGAGTTCAACACCTTCA